AGCTGGGCTTCTCCTGGTACAAGAAGTGAAAAGTCATCGTCAAGTATGACCTCTGTGACCTACTGTAGGAACATAGGCAGAGAAAAAGGTTTGTCTGTGTTGTGTATGCGTCATTTGCATTACACAAGGGTTACTAATGCTATAGATTTTTAGGCTCTAAGTTGTAAATGTACAGAGTACAATGTTGGTTTGGTTGGCGTTTTTGAGCTTTAGTGTGTATGCAGTTGCAATCTATATGCTGTTGGATTGTGTTGATATTGAGTGTGCTGGGTAAACTCACTGCTAACATGCAAAACCTTGCTGGTTTATTGAGTTTGCTACCTGGCAGACACAGTGGGATTAGTGTAATGTCACACAGCTGCTTCAGCTTCTTTTCCTTTGAAAGTTACACCTAGTACAAACAAGCACAGACATCCAGCCAAAGAAAAGCATGCTAAATTGGCTGCCTTCATTCCTTGCTATGGAGTGTGAGGGGAAGATCTTTTCCTTTTTTTAAAAAAAGGCATCCTCTTGGCTAATTTTTCAGTAAGTTAGTAGGATTAGCACCCTACCTAATACTGTGGCCTGCAGTAAAAAAACAAAAAAACAAAACTGGAGCATTCAAAATCTTTTGTTCCATATGCATACATGATTCAAAGTAAGCTTAGGTATAATTTCACTTCCAGTTGTATATTTTATCCATGTTTAGGTATTATGTTAATTATAACTAGAATTTTAGGAGGAGGAAGGACAGGGCTATGTTGTACTCAAAGCAGTTCGTAATGTAGTTAATTATAGGAGAGGTACATACCTGTTATGCAGAATGCTTCACAGATTGTGGGGTTTCCTTTCTAAATAAAATCTTTTACCAACCTTGATGTAAACCCAATTAGAAAATTAATTTATAATATCTTTATGTTGCCAGAAAGGATTCGATGTGTTTAATGCACTAGACTTGATGGAAAACAAAACATTCCTGGAAAAACTGAAATTTGGTATTGGAGATGGCAATCTGCAGTATTATTTGTATAACTGGAGATGTCCTGGCATGGATTCTGAAAAGGTAACATATTTATACCAGAGATTCAATTGTCCCTTGACTGTGCTTCTGAAGATAATAGTAGTAATTAATACATCTGGAAGGTATCAATATAGAGAAGGCTGATATACAGTAATTTCCATTACAGATGTTCTGTACCTTCATTCATTTAATGGTATTTAATGTACTGATGAGTTACTCCAATAGAAGAGTTTGGGTGTGCCTACCTTCCCTCTATATTTGGGACTCCCCATGCAATGCCTGTGGACACTAATGTGTTAGTAAAGTCTTCCCTTGATGGAGTCTTCATCAGTGGGAAACTAGCATGCTGCAAAACACTACCCTCAGCAATACTTTCATTTTCAAAAATGCCTCTGGGCCCCCTAAATAGGCATCGGCTCACTGCACATAGCTCCCCACAAACTGGAGGTGGGAGTGTCTGGGGCAGGTAGAGAACATAGTGGGGTATTTTGTGACTGGCCATGCCCATCATGATAACCATTTGGCCAATAGGCAGGATTCTTCTCCCTGTGGGAGTACTTCCCTGGAGAGTGTTTATAGCTTCCTCCTAAAACTCCAAATGCCCCAGCGTCCTCTAAGCATGAGGGACTTTGGTTTTATCTGCAATAACATCCATGTTATCATCTTTCCAGGTTGGTCTCGTATTACAATAAGGTGAAAGGACACTTATATTTATAGTTCTTGGAAGTCATCATCTGGGCTGATGGATGCTCTTGGATCAGTACAATTCGAGAGGAGCAAAAGCACAATCCCTGATGAACTTAAATCAGTCAGTCAAACCGTGGGGGAGGGGGATACAAGAAGAAGCGAAGATTTCTGTGCTCAACCAGCCCTTCGACTCTGAATGGGAACAAAAACGCTTATGAACCTTTTACTGTTTGTCAATGAAAAAAGAAATAAAGCACATTTGTTTAATTTTCAATGCTTAGCTCGCATCTTGATGAAAAGGGTTCTTTTCTCTGTTTCCCTGCATAAAAATAAAAAGACTTTTTGTACAACAATGCAGTTGCAATGGTGGAATAGAGTACAAATACTTTACTGTAATGTGACTGAACTGCTGCATTTCTATTTATTAAGTGGTAGTGTATGTTTATCAATGTAACAAAATGAAGGAGCCGATTTTGAGTATTTCTGCTTATTTTCATGACGTGGATGTCATCATCGCCAGGAGAAAAGCCTTGGGAATATGACTGTTTGTTAGGAAACATGCAGATATTGGATGTCTTTTGTAATGTGGAGTGGTACAGAAATGTGCTGGTTGGACTAGTACATGTTTCTCCATAAGCAATGCTGCCAAATCAATAAAAATACTAATTTGTAATTTGATCTTCAATAGATCAGTGACTTGATTATAGTATAGCACTACTGAGTGCAAGTGTTGATATGTTCCCTGAACTATAGTATTCATCTTACAGCTCTGAAAAAGAAAATTTTACACTGTTTTTGATGGTACAGTAGCAGCAGCCTGTACATGAAACTCAGAATATTAGTACTGTTATGAAGATGTGTTAAGACTGAATGTGTTTTAAGGCTTTTGCAGAATTGCACATATTCTTTTTGTCTACTTGTTTTTTTAAAAAAAAACATTTTAAACTGAAAATATGTTTGTGTAAATAAGTAAATTTGTTGCTAGTAGTAGCAATATAATTCTGGTTTTGGGGAAGAGGGGGTTTCATAGTACACATTTGTATATGTCCTTGCAAATGCATTTTTGGTTGGCAGCAATACATGCCAAAATGTCTTGGTTCATATCTTACGGTAAACCTTAATATGGTTTTGTTTGGCTTAGCGTGTTATGCGAATACAACCAACCATAATGTCCTTAACAAATCATAGCTTAGTGAAATGCATGAACCAGGTCAAGATCTCTCTCCCCCTTTGGATTAATAGAGTTCAGTTTAGAATATGGTGAAGTACTGTATATGCATCCAAATTTTCAACAACTGTTTATATACAATTTGTCAATTAGCTGTTTTCACACATCACAGTAAGCCATGATTTGTTGGAAAACTAGAGTCAGTCTGGCAGACAACAAAAATATTCATTTGGCTGATTTTTGAGTGGTTTTGTTTCCTTTTTTATTTATTTTAGGTTTAGTTAATAGCCCTTCCCTAAACGGCATTTTCCTGATGCATTGAACTGCAATTTCCAGAATCCCCCCCATTAATATGTCTTCAGAACTAGAACTGCAGTCCAATATATCTGGAAGGTGCCAAATGGGAGAAGATTGGGATTGGATCAGGAAACCTACAGATGCATCACATCAGTCAGTACATTCTACAATCTAGAATACTTCCAGTCTAGAACTGGCTTATTTATAAATCTTACGCATCACTGTAAATCAGTGGCTTGGTACACTACAGGAACTCTGCTTAAGTAAGTTAAATTGATTAGATTGTTTCTGCTAGAATAACCCCAGATGAATACAGTATTCTCACTTGCGCATAGTGCTAAGCCATAATGTAATTTGTTTGGTTTTGGTTGCATGTGATGTGCCAACCCACCCATGATAGCTTGCCGTGCTGTGTGAACTGGCCATCTGAATTTTGATATTTCTTGAGTAAGTCTGTGTTTTTCCACATTTCAAAATAACATCTTGGTTCAATCACATGTGGGGGGGGGGTTGCAGATGTTAGCCGTGATCTGAACATCTTTTCAAGAGATTCATCAAGCACAAGGTTGCTAGAGAAAAAATGTTATCAAGCATTGGTCTTAATTTATCAGAAACCTTGGTAGATATTATAACAAGCATAGTTTAACCAAATAGCTGTAACCACTTTTGTATGTTGCCTATTTCAGAAAGATCCAATAGCATAGCTTTGAATGAACAAGAGATCATGTGGTTTTTTTGTTGCTCCTAAAGCAAAAACTGCTAATCCAATTGCTAAATCTCAAGCTTGCACTTTCCCATCGTTAGACAGCAAAGGGAGGACTCCTGTACAAGTTTTCCCAAATGCTGATGTTGCATACAAACCAGGAATTGTAATTTAAAATGTTGCCAGAAACGCCCAACCTAGCACCAATCCTGGATTTTGCACCAATTACATCCTGTGCTTAAAAGTAACTTAACACTTTGTTAATGCATCCAGTTCTTGTTGCTATGGTTCCTATCCTGTTTTCCCCTCCAATTTTCCTGTTTCTACTACCTGTACTACAGCAGCTTATTGAAGGAAGTTTATTCTGAACAGTGATTTCAGTTACACAATCAGGACCAATTTTAGTGCTTGGATTCAATGACATTTATCTGAATATGGTAAAGCTGTGTTCTCCACTTAGAAATCTGGTTCTTTGGATCTGTGAACACCTCACAACCTATTAATCCAAAAGCCTCGGGTTTCAAATGCCTCTCTCTTAATGCAGGGAATTGATCTGATATGCTAAAGAAAGTATTTCTATTATTAAAAGCAAAATGTGTCTATGCTCAGTTCTGCATGTCCTACTCGATAAGAATCACAACTGTTCTAGAGAAAAATATTAAGCAGAAAAATGCTGTGCTCTCAAATGTGCAGCTGTTTTCAACTACAACATCTTAACAGTTCTTGAATTTTATTGGCACCAATGAATGTTTGAATAAATGTATCACTTTCATACTATTTTGTTTTGAATAATTATGTTTAACTTAAAATATTCTTTATTTCAAACACTAGGGTATTCTGTTTAAAATGATGCATGCCTATTGGCTGGGGAAAATGGAAGTTATAACCCAAAACTTCTGGAGAGCACCAGGTTGGGAAAGGCTGTCCTAGTCAACTGTAGGAAAGCAACCTTGAACTGAATATGACTTCCACCCCAACATCATGTGCAATGCCCAGCTTCCCCATCTTGTCTAGCTAAGGTTACCAACACCACCTAAAACAAACCCTGTCTATACATATACACTTGTAGAATACATATATACAGTACATAAGTACTTCTGTGCTGTATCTACCTGCAGAAGCCACATTCCAAAAAAGGGCATAGCCAGGACAAAAAGGTTATATTTATTGAAATCATAATTCCTAATTAAAAAATCACCTGGAAAGATAGCCCATTTATACAATGAACTGATTCTTCTGTTGGCATACACTAACACATTCTCCTTGTTTGTTCTGGCAGCAGAAGAAATTTACAGGCTGGAGATTGGTTAAGGGAAGGCAGGAGAAAAGTATGAAACAAAAATGAAGATGAAACAAGGGGAAGAGAGAACAGGGAAGGGAAGAAAAGATTCTATTTTTTTAGGCATTACATTCACTGGGTAAGCAGCCCCTTCTAACTAACAACAAATCTTCAAAGGTGCACACACTTATTTTTAGCAAGAATGCCTTGTTTTCAACAGCAAATGTAAGATGACCCTTCACACTCCACTTCCAATTCAAACGTAATTTGGAAAATATGCTCCTATTCAGTCCATATGGCATTATTATACATCACCTTTCAGGCAAACAGAAATGCAATATGTAAAGAAGAAATCAAGTTTACTTTGAAATACGTTTTTTAGTTTTGGGAAGCTTCCGGCTTTTCTTTGGATTGGGAACTATATTTTTAACTTTAAGTGTTTGCAGAGCTATGGTAGGGGAAACAAGTGGGCTGGTATCTGTTAGTTTCCGCTTGTGACTGGAAGAGCTCCCTACTGGGGTAGACTCAGTGAATTCTGCAGCTGAAACAGTCAACAAATTAGTATCTTCATTTATTAAAGGTGGTTCAGTTCCATGCTGGATCCATGGCACGTCTAAACTAGGAATTCGTGGAATAATCATTTCAACTACCTTTGCAAACGCATCAGCAGTTCTTTTAAACCCCAGGGCCAGCACAGATGTTAATCCAAGCATTGGGGCTAATGTTTCGCTGAGACGTGGCACTTGGCCAGCAGGGATGGCTCGACTTGCACTGAGTGGGATAAGGTGAGATGTTAGCAAGGCAGGTTTGGCAGATTTGCACACTAACACAAGACATAATTCATTTTTTTCCAAAGCTCTGGTTACTTCATTGATCCCAATAGCAAGCTGGTTCCTGATTTGCACATCAGTCCAGCCATGTGCTTTTGGATCATCAGCCTCTTTCTCATCCTGAAATTTGCCAGGATGATTGCAACATTCTTCCTTCTCTCGCATTTTTCTGGAGGAGGGTTTCATCCTCTTCCGATCCTCTATCTTTTTAAACCCAATCTGTTTCATGACTTCTTCCAAGGCCTGCAAGACAAAGTGCATATCCTCTCCTGGCAGGGTACACCATTGTGGAGTATAAGGGTTGTTCAAAGATGTTTTCACAATTATTTGCTTGGATTTACGAGCTGATCCTTTCCCCCGTATAACAGACATTTGGGTGTTCTTACACTTTGGAGCTCAAGCTGAAAAGAACACAGGTCAAAAGATTTAAGCATTTTGCAAATTACTAATCACAAAAAATGAAATGTCCCATTTGCTTTTATTTTGACTTTATTCTATGCTATTAAAAGAATCTGAAGCTGTAAACTTACAGCTGACAAATGTTTTTACCTTTGTTGCATTGGCAAAAACCTGCACCCATGTAGCTAAATTGCTGATAATGATTTCCCTACAATAATAGAAAATCCACAGTTTAATCAATCAGTGCAGAATTTTCACTTGAGGCACAAATGACCAAGTTCAAATTATCATATTTTGGACACATTATGCAAAGACCTAGCTCTCCTGAAAAGTCTATAATGCTGGAAAAGTGGAAGAAAAAGGAAGAGGCCAACTGCAAGATGGATGGATTTGATTACAATGGCAATGGGTACATTGCTGGAAGACCTGAAGGACCAGGCTGAGGATAGATCATCCTAGCGGTCTATCAATGTTATTGCTAAAAATCGATACAAACTTGATGGCACATCAATCAATCAACAGGAAATCCCAGGAGGGATTGGAAGGAGTGGGGCATCAAGATAGTCTTTGAATTTATAGATTCCAAAACCCATTTGTGCTCAAATATGAGGAAAAACTTACACCACTCCAGAAATGGAAGGTTTTTTTTCCCCACTGATGTGAATAGAAGGAAAAGGTAAAAGTAGAATAAAGGGAGAGAGAAAAAAATTATCTTCTACTAGGGCCTGTGCAAGCCAATGGGGTTTAGGAAGTGACAACTCCTCTGCCAAATATTGTCACCTCCTTCCCCTACTGCAAGACTTACTTTATGCATGCTACTGCTATTACTATCCAGTAGCCATAACTATATATGTGCTCAAAAGCTATTAACTATTCCAGAACAGACACCCCTTCCTGGCCACAAAATGGTTGTGCCCTCATGATACATTCATCCATAACCTGATGGTTTAGGTTCTCACAATATTAACCATCTACATGGGCTGGGTTTATACAACACACTAAGCTAAAATGGGTATGGCTAGTTTGTCATCCTCCCTTGAAACATATATATGGCTGGGAAAGGTGGAAGGAAAAAGAAGAGGATGACCAGCAGCAAGGTGCATGAACTCAATTAGAGAAGTGATGGATGCAATTAGAGAAGTGATGAACTCAGAGAAGACCTGAAGACAGTGGTGTCCTGGAGCTGGTTCATCCTGCTCATGACGTGCAATTGTTAAATTTCGTAGAAACTTGTAAGCCAGTTGAGAGCACAGCTGAGCCACAATGCTTAGCACACCAATCAGCTGTTCAGCAGCTAGCGGCACAGAGCAATGGAATGGAACTGGCAGAATGGAAATGTTAAACATTTACCAGCACACTACTGCCCAAAGGGCCAAGTTGGGAACTGATCATCCTGGAGATGATCTATCTATGCTATCTATGTGGTCCCAAGAGTTGACATCAGTTTTATGACGCATAATCAAGTTTGTTATCCAGTATGTCATGCAAAACACAGCCAATTTTTAGCCTTCTCTGATAACGGTGAGAGCACTGAGATCAACTTCTGGAAACTACACGGCAAAAATATGGAAGTGATTTCTTTACTTCTTTGGCGCTTTTCCCATTCCCAGATCCCCACCCCACCCTCATTCCCAGTCCACTTTCTTTCAGTTCCTGGCATTCTTTCCTCCAATTACCAGTCAGGCCTGATGCTGCTTCACTTCTGTGCCTTAACAAGGCCAGCCAGTTGCTATCATCTGCTGAGGCCATTAAATGCCCCGAACTACCCACTGGAAGTAAAGGCTCCGTTCTACTCTCAGAATATTGGGACACCTTCCTCTGTTAAACGCTGCGGATCACCTGAGAGGCAATAGAATGATATAGAATCCCAGCACAATGAAGCAAGTAGGGCAGCTTCAGGCTGTAGACAGAAATGCAATTTTTGAAACCATCCACTGACCCAGATTAAAAGAAAGAAACGCTCCGTAAGTTGCAACAGTAGTAATAACAACAACAGAGAAGGAAAGGATAAGTCGCATCAAGGGAAACGGCCAGCCCCTGAGCTTAGTGCATGGAGCTTTCCATCCGACTTCAAGGGAATCCTGGATCAACGAAGCAGGCAAAAGACAGCGCTCCCCCCGCGCCTCCACTCACCTTGCTAGCCAGCAGCTCACTGCAGCGATCGGCTGCTGTCTCGAACCCACCGGAGGCTCCAGGACTCTCCAGACTGGGCACTGCACGCCACCCGCTTCCCCTCCAAGCTCCAGCGGCGCGACCAATTTCTCCCTCCACCGACGGAAGCGCAGCGGCGCTCACGCGAGAGCGACGCCGGGCGGCAGGGGCCTCCTCCCTTGCGTGCTCAGCAGAGGAGGAAGCGGAAGGGGCCGGACGCGCGTCCGGCCAGGCCCACGCTCGCCTCGCCTGCGACCCTCCGCGTCGG